TCATAGGATCCCAGCAAGAAAGAGTATTGATTGAAAGAATACTATTCAAATATTGCTTGGTATAACAGGTATGCCATGTAGAAGGTTAAACGTAATTATTTTAAAAGTAAATCCCAGACTAAATTTAGTTTCAGAAATCTTTTAACAAGTAATTTTTTTTTCATTTCATAAATTCAAGATTGTAATAAAAAATGAAGCATTGGGTCTTGTAGGAATGTAATAAAGTAATGTACTAATTTTTTATGGGTTTGCTTGGTAGCAACAAACTAATCTTGATTGTTTTTTAACCTATGATAAGTTCAATATTTACCTACTGTAGAGATATAAAATGGTTCTTATATTATGATTATTTTGGAAGTGTTAAGAACAGTCCTTCCAATGAAACAATCAGATTACTCTGTAAGCTGTTTTGCCTTGCTATTCTACACTAATTTCTTATAACTTTATGTACGCTATACAATATCCAACAAAAATGTTTCTGATGTAATTTATAGGGCAAGCAACAGGATAGCAGAACTTTCTTACACTGTGACTCTGGAGGACTATGGACTTGTGAAAATGCATGAAGTTCTGGTGTCAGATTCTTCTCAAGTAAATAATACGTTAATATAATCCCACCCCCATACCCCTCCCTTTTTTTCTCCCTAAGGCTTCAATTGTAGCTATAATAATAAGAAATTAGGGTTGGAAGGGACTTCAGGAGCTCATCTAGTCCAATCCCCTGCTCAGAGTAGCACCATCCCCAACTAGATCATCCCAGCCAAGCCTTTATCTAGCCAAGTCTTAAAAACCTCCAAGGATGGAAAGTCCACAACCTCTCTGGGTAACCTGTTCCAGTGCTTTACTACCCTCCTAGTGAGAGAAGTTTTCCTAATATCTAAACTAAACTTCCCTTGCTGCAACTTGAGACCATTGTTCCTTGTTCTGTCATCTGCCACCACTGAGAACAGTCTAGCTCCATCCTCTTTCAACCCCCACCTCCCTTCCCTCCCCCCAGGTAGTTGAAGGCTGCTATTAAATCTCCTTTCAGTCTTCTCTTTTGCAGACTAAATAAGCATAGATCCCTTAGCCTCTCCTCTTAAGTTATGTCCCCCAGCCTCCTCACCATTTTCATTGCCCTCTGCTGGACTCTCTCCAATTTGCCCACATCTTTTCTGTAGTGGAGGGCCCACAACTGAACACAGTACTCCAGATGTGGCTTCACCAATACTGAATAGAGAGAAATAATCGCTTCTTTTGATCTGCTGGCATCACACCTACCAATGCAGCCCAGTATGCCATTAGCCTTCTTGGCAAGAAGGGCACACAGGTGGCACATATTCAGTAGGGCTGTGCAAAACAGCACCGTTTTGTTTTGATGTCCATTCCGCCATTTCTAAGGGACTGTTTAATTTCGTCATTTTATTTCAAAGCATTGTCCCATTTCATTTTGTCGAAACTTTCATTGTTTCAATGAGTTTCGACCAAAGGCTGTAACAGGGTATCATGAAAATGCCTAAAACTTTGTCATTTCTTGCCTGACAATTGCAGAGATGGTAGCCCCTTCTGAGGGCATGAAGCCTGCCAAGTTTCAAGAAGATGGATGCAGAGATTTCTGGGAAACTGCACCTCAAACTGTTCAAAGCACAACTCCTGAAATTGCTGGCAGTGCCAACCTCCTCATCTGACATGCAGATTCGGGGGCCTGCACCCCCGGGAGGGCTGCAGGGCTGTGCCAGACTCTGCCCCAGGGGTGTGGGCCCCTTGATCCCCCAGGAGGAGTCCAGCACAGCCCTGCAGCCCTGCCGGGGGTGCCGGACCATGGATCTGTGCGTTGGATGACAGGAGGCCGCTGCTGCCTCCTGGGACCGATGCCAAAGCCAAGTAAGCCCGCCTTCGAAACTCAAAATGTTTTGAAACTTTCGTTGATATCAACGAGTGCCCTCGTTTCATTTTGAAGCTGCTTTGAAGCCTTTTGTTTCGATTTTGTTGTTTTGTGCTCGATACGCATTGAAACAACTTTGAAACGAAACACCTGGGAAAATTTTGCACAGCTGTAATGTTCAGGTTTATTGTATGCAGTAACCCCTAGGTCTTTTTCTGCAGTGCTGCTGCCTAGCTAGTCATTCCCCAGCCTGTACCTGGTGCATGGGATTATTTTATCTTAGTGCAGGCCTTTGCACTTTTCTGTATTGAACCCCATGAGATTCTTTTTGATCCAGTCCTCCAATTTGTTGAGGTCTCCTTTAAGAATTAAAATTACTCTTTATCTTTGTGATCAGTGTTTAGGTAAGCAGCAGCCGATCCATCTACCTCAGCCTCCTCATGTCCCAGAAGCCCAGACAGAGCCACGAGAAACTCTTGAATACAAAGCAGCACTTGAATTAGAAATGTGGAAGGAAATGCAGGAGGACATCTTTGAGAACCAGGTTTCTATACTGTTTTATTTTAAGCTTTAGAGGGGTTATACCAAAGCAGAGGAAAATACTAGCTACTGATATTTGATTTACCTTTTTAATAAAAGGGGAAAATGGCTGATATAGAGTCACATGACTAAAAATGCTGTATATACATGCTTTCTTTCATTGGCCAGATCATGGTAACTGGACCATCTGGCCATAGACTAAAACAGGTGCTATAAGATTTAGTATTTTAAAAATGTTATAACAAAATTTTTATGAAATGCAGTGGGTACTGGAGTTCAAAATGTGTGACTGCTATTGGATATTAAATCTGAATACTTAGACTGTTTTTTCCATCAGTGTCTATTATTATATTTTCTTTTTTGGTGTTCTCCTTCAGTTCTTGAAGACATTCTGTTGATATCAAAGAAATTTAGTTAAAAATGATGATAGTCATTTTTGCTGAAGTATCTGTATGCTGCTTTTAAAAGCGAAAAAAAATATTAACCTGGTAAAAATAGAGAGATTCCTAATTTTATGTTGTACAGTATTAAGTCCACAATATAGTAATGTTAGCATGTTTTACTGTTGGAGTACAAAGGTGTTACAGTAACGAAGATCATAATACCATGTGGTGTGTTATTAAATAGGGTACAAAGCAGTTTGCTAAATAGCTTTATTAGCTTAATTGTTTGTGGCCTCACTGTAAAAATCCTTGCCTGACACACATTCTGCATTTCATATGGATATAGAACCTCTGCATGTGGAAAAGCAATGTTTGAAATTGGCTATGTGATTCTGAGAAATAATTTTTATGTTCATCTTTTTGTTAGTTTGTAGCACCTTTCAAAAAATGTCTGTGTCCTCATTGATAAGTACATTTTCATTCTTCTATAATCTCTTTTCTTGTTCCTTTTTGATAGCTAAAAAAGAAGGAGCTGGCTCACATGCAAGCACTTGCAGATGAGTGGAAAAAAAGGGATAGAGAGAGAGAAGCATTAGTTAAGAAAAAGGTAATGAGACTGACACCCCATGTATTCTGTAGATTTAACAGTATGCTGATGCATGCAAGTGACCAACAAAAAACAGCAGGGGACATAGGGTTTAGCCTAAGGACTGAGTCTTAACATTATTACAAGCAAAGACAAACTAGGCTTTGCTAATTAATACAGAGCAGAAGCACTTTGGCTACCAGTCTTGATGCCAAACAGAAAGAAGGGGGAAAAATAGATGCTTACAATGTCAAATGACTTTTTCTATAACATTTAGCCTTAATATTTGGAGATCTCATTTGCTGTATATGCACAATTAAATTTCTGATATTTGACACTAATACTTCATCATTTATTTCATACTATTTTATTATGTGGTATTAGTTGAAAACTGTGGAATCTTCATCCCTGGAAAATTTTCAAGAGCAGGTTAGACAGGTACTTGACTAGTGTGGTTTAGTCAGGGAGGTTTCTGCCTTGAGCAAGGGACTGGACTAGATGACCTCAAGGTCCTTTCCAGTACTACTTTCCTGTGATCCTATGAAAACTGGAGCTTCGGGCTTATGTAAAGTTACGATTTAGTTGCAAGGAAAAAAAAACAGTGCTTGTGTCTGAGTATTTTTGTTTGGTTTTTTAGGTTGCAGAATATACAGTTCTGGAAGAACAACTTCAAAAAACTTTGAGAGACTTAGAAAAGCGTGAACGACAGCTTGTTAGTGCAGAAGCAGAGGTAACATACTTTTATTGGTAGTTTAAGACAGGTAATCAGAAAGTAAAAATACTCTACACGCACGCACGCACACACGCACACACAAAGCTATGTTAACCGGCCCTTTCTTACCCAGAAAACTATTAACCGACATCTGAGCAACGCGGCAAAAGCAAAACCGGAAGTACCATTTCTGGGGGAGTTTCCGTTTCGCCACTGCAAGCTGAGTTTTTCTTTGCCACTTTTTCAGCCCACAGCCCAGGGCAAAGCAGCCTGCGCAGGGAAAAAGCAGCCTGTGCGGGGCCTAACTCCCTGTCCCCCGGCGCACTGACACCGGGGAGTGCACCAGACAGTGCATATTTGATTAACTGGCATCCCCCATTCCCGGGGGATGCCAATAACAAAGCTTTTACTGTACATACTCTTGAGTTTCTGATGGAAACAGTTGTATTGTTAATAACTATGAGGACTCTCAAATTTATCTCTCCATTCGCTGCAATGCAAAACTTGAATTCTGACCTCAGCATTAGTAGTATGTAAAGAGAGCTATCCAGGTCAGGTTAGTAAATGACATTAGAAATCTGTATAATCTGTATCCTTCTGTCAGCCTCAGAAGAGAAGATGCAGCAGCTAACACTTACTATATCTCTGAATGCTCTGCATGGGAGAGGAAAGTGCACAGGGCTAATCATGGATATGGGATATTTCCAAATCATGATATTTCAGCAGTACCAGCAGTGTTATGTTAGTTAATATGGGACATCAGCATGACTGTTGTCCTAATTCCGTGGCTGAAGCTAATCTTATCATATCTGCCTATTTTGACACTTAAACAGAGTTAAAGTTCCCAGTGTGTGACCATCTGACTCCTGCTTAAGATTGTCTGACTCCTACCTCCCAACTTGGTTCAGACCCTCCAAGATTTAATTTGCATTGTAAATCATCATATGTCAGTTACTTTATGCTTCTTTTCATAATTTTTGTGGATGGCTAGAGTTTGTCTGCATTTGCTTCAATGAAAGTGTTACATTTTTTAGTTACATCCATATTTGCCTCAAAAATGACCAAAAATTGAATGGAACAGTGAAAGGTTACAGACAGTATTAAGGTAATGTGTTCAGAAGTTATTTAAAGAAAAGGTGATTTACTGCATACACAATTTCAGAAATATATAATACTCTTATTCAGCAAGCACTAACTCAATGTTTCTCATGTGTTTCTCGAAAATTCAAGTGTGTAACAAAGGTCATATTTCATATTTAGCTTAGTAGGAAGTAATACAGATAACAGTTTGAAAGTTCATATCTGCTGAACCTTCCCTATGATCCCTCTGTTCCACTCTAACAGGATGGAAAAGATAGACGCATTTTTTCAGTTAGAATGGAAGGGAAGGAAGGTGTCATTTCCAGACCCTATTTAGCCAGTGAGACATAAGATGCTGGTATCTTTAGATAAAAAGAGGCAGGTAAATTGGAGGAGAGGTTTTTGGCTACAATTATTATAGTAACTTACAAGTCACTGGTTAATTTGGGAAGGGATAGTGGAAGACTGGCTACATCTCCATCTGTCCATACTGAAAATATAGCAGTGAAGACATTAAAAGGAGCCCTCCATAGATAAAAGCCAGGAAAGTTTCCATTAATCTTTAATGGAAAGATTAGTACAAGTGTAAGGAAGAATTTCAAATGAATTGTACTTATAGATATTGCATTTAAAATGCTTCAATGTTAAGCTTCAAAGAATAAAGAAAGAATTGCAAGCAGAGCATGAACGAAACGTTCAAGAACTTCAGGATTCAGTGCGGCGAGCCAAAGAAGAATGCACTCATCAAGTAGAACTAGAGAGGTCAAAGATCAAACAGCTGGAAGAGGACAAGATCCGCTTACAACAGCTGGTAAGTAAAGTTTTAAATTTCCTTTTCAGGCTGGGATAGTTGCAAATAGGACATTTCAGAAGTTGTATGTTATTGAAGCAAACACGTTTGGGGAACTCTTGCCATGAAGATGTTGGTCCCAGTTATCCAGTGAGATTCATACCACAGTTAAGATCCACTGGCTTTCTTTTGCATTTGGTGTGTTAGCGGTATTTTGCTTTTTAAGGCTGATTATATTTGGGAATGAAAAAACATACGCTTTGAACATTATGCAAGACATTCTTCATCAGTTCTGAAGAGTAAAAACCAGCACAGCACAACATAGCTGGAAGAAGAGGGGAGAAGAGAAATTCCCAGGGTAGCAGATATAATTATCTGAAGAAAAGAACCTAGGATTTCAAGGCCAACAAGGAGGAAAAAGGTAATTCTCACTTTTCATACGTGGGAAGAATTCAGTAAGTAGGCAGGGTAGATTTGCATCTTATAGGTTAACCAAAGTAAATACATAATATAGTACAAACTTTATAGTTCTTAAACCTATGGTGGAAATCAGATTTCTAGAAATTCTTCTGCAAGTGGTTTTTGAAGAAGTCGGCATGTTGAAGGGCCATCTTTGTGCCATAGCTATGCCCATAGTTTGGTGGAAGTTTCATAGTTTCTAGGGTCAGAAGGGACCTGAGCAGATCATCTAGTCCGACCCCCTGCCACGGCAGGAAAGAGTACTGGGGTCAAACGACCCCAGCAAGGTGGTCATCCAACCTCCTCTTAAAAACCCCCAGGGTGGGAGCCTGCACCACCTCTCTTGGAAGCTGGTTCCAGACCCTAGCTGCCCTGACCGTGAAGTACCGCCTCCTGATGTCCAACTTAAACCTTCCCTCTGCCAGCTTGTGACCGTTGTTCCTGGTCACTCCTTGCGGCACTCGGGGGAACAGGGACTCCCCCAGCACCTGCTGATCCCCCCTAACCAGTTTATAACAGGCCACAAGATCCCCCCTCAGCCTTCTCTTTTGAAGGCTGAACAGGTTCAGGTCCCGCAACCTTTCCTCATAGGACCTACCCTGCTGTCCCTTGATCATACGAGT